TTCTTTTTAATTCTGCTTATCAGAATAACTGATATATACAAATGATGTTTAGATTAGAGCCAAAGTGGAACTATATTAGGGATGAGGCTGATCCATATTGAGGAAAATAGAACTAAATGCTGCATTTAATTTTAGCTAACTAATATCAGGCAGTTGGTTCAGGGAAGAAGGACTATCTCATTGATTCCATTTCAAATTATAAACCAGATGACAAACAGCAAAGTATGCTCAATAGATGTGGAAACTGATGAGAATTTTAAGATTTAAAGCTCAGTTTTTAATGGGTTTGTAATAGATAACACTTTTTTTTTTTTTAAAAAAAAGGTGTTATTTAATTTACAACCAAGAATTTCTCAGTAAGCTGTTTCTCTTTGTCAGCACCAATTCTATAATGACATAGAATCACATAATAGTTTGAGTTGGAAGGGCCCGCTGAGGGTTGCATGATCCCACCCTCTGCTCAGGAAGGCCAGCTTGGATCAGGTGTCTCAGGGATTGCCTGGGTGAGTTTTGAGGGCCTCCAAGGACAGAGCTTTGACGCCTTTTGGGCTACCTGTTCCAGTGTTTGGCTAGTCTTGTTGTGAAATTTTTTTCCTGATCTAACTGCAATTTCCCACATTGCAGCTTGTGCCCAGTGCTTCTCAAACTTGCAGTGAGCACTTCCAAAAAGAGTCTGGCTCCGTCTTCTCTATACCCCGCTTTTAGGCAACTGAAGTCCACAGCACGATTTTACTTTAGTCTCTTCTTAAGATTGATCAGCCCCACTTCTCTGACTCTCATCATACATCATGCCAAAAGATATAATATAGTCACCTACAGTAATGTAGTTTTGTGGCACTCATACCTGACGAAGCTCCTCTGCTTAGCTTAGGAAGTCTGGCTGACTTCATAGATGAAGTCACTCCACTCCCACCAACTTGTGAGCTGTAATACTGTGTTGGGCTTTTGGTACCTTAGCGTTCTTGATAACTCTTGAACTTTTATGCAAAAATGCTTACTATTCCTGTCCGTAGTGACAGAAAGCGGCTAGGTAGAAAGTAACTGTGCATAAGTTGTATGTTCTTTTTATTTCTATTTGATTTTCTTCAAAAGGGTTGGGTTGTGAATAAGTCACTAAAATAAATGAATCTCAAAGTAGTGTTAATCTTAACAGCTTAACATATTTTAAGAATTATGCCATGACATTCTTTTTAGAATTGGGTGTTGTCCTGAGCTGCTAATAATAAAATGTTTTAGCAATGAATAAAAATGGATTCTATTTTAATCAGTGCGAATATTCCAGGGTGCATTAAGCTCCTCTGAAAACTCACCGGATCAAATTCTGCCCTTGAAGTGAAAGGTTTGCATACAAGTCAGAAGACAGGCTTTGGTCCATAGTATTTTGCTTGGCTTTCATTTTATTTTTGATAGTCCAAGATTGGAGGAATTTGTAAGGGAAAATACCGTGGCAGAAAAATCTTGTTTAAAGATATGCTGGATTCCAGAGAATATTTTAAAACGCGGAAACATTTTTCTTAGTCTGTTGTGCCAGTAACTACTCGGTTCTGTGGATAGGCATGAAAAAGTGGACAGTGCTTTAAAGAAACAGACCCGTGCAAGTGATCATCATGCCTTAAAAAGAGGCTATACATTCAGTTTAAGACATCAGGCTGTAGAACCAGGAGTATCTTACATCAGAGAGTTTGAAGCAGTGGTGGTGTTACCAGAAGTTTGTGCTCTTTCTCTCCTTACCTTTCTGTTACACATCTGTGCTTCTTTGAGGCTTAAATACACCATGGCTGCAGATGAAAGTTATTCAAACAGTTGCTTAGAAATTTTTGCATACATTTTTAGTTGGTTTCCAAAAGTGTTTGTGCGGTATCTTTTATAGAAGTCTTTCAACTTTGTTGGTGTGCTTTTGTGGTTCTGTAGCTGTTACCCTCAGGTTTCAGTCTCTGCCTTGGCCTCTGCTCTCACCCAGAAGATTGTGCTTCGACGTTTCAGATCGCACTCAGCCGCGGGGCCAATGCAGTTGACCTGTTGGGCAGGTGGGCTGGGCCAGCGCAGTAGGCTTTCTTTTTTGAGCTCTTCCTAGCGAGTGAGATCAAGTAGCTCATGGCATATAGTGCAACTTTAACTGTTGTTTTTATTTTTTGGTCCTCTAGTTTACTTACTGTCTTGCATTATATATACGTTACATTTATAACACTCGGAAGTTACAGGGTGTCAGCATCACAGTCTGACTTTGGCTCCTGTGACTGTGCGCATGGTGTTAACAGTCTTGTAATGAAAGAGGAATAGACTTTTTACATGCATTCCTTTTCTCATTCAGTCTGCAGGAAAGATTGAGGAGTAGTCATTCGGTACATTTTATCCTTTTCAGTATGTGATGTTGCAGTGAACAGAGTATTTCTTTCTTAATGGAGTTTGTGTGGTACTACTGTTACAATTCCTAACATCTTACGGAATCTTAAGATACTGTCTTCTCAATATCCTTGTGGGGTGGCGGAGGTTACCACACACTATATCTTATGGTTGGGGGATTGAAGCACAGAAATAAAAGCAAATGTTGTCTAAGGTATTGGCAAACTTTGTGCACCTGGACTGAGAAATTTAGAAAACAGTGTTGTTTATAGTATTTGTATTCAGAGCCATATTCCTTTTGTCCTCTTGAAACTGGAAGTATTTATGACTTCTTAAATTTGACTCTTGGTTTTCAGAATTCAGAAGTGAAGAGCACACAGTGTCCACCTGTGAAAAATTTGGTTTGTAGGATTTGCTTTGCAAGAGAACTGTTTCTGATGTGGGAATACAGTCTGTTTCTCTGTGGTGATTTTTAAACTTTCCCAACCATGAAACTATTTTGTAGAAATCAGCATTCTGCCTTTTCTCCAGATATCTTCCACTATACTGAAAAACTGCTTTTTTGTTCTATGAACAGTTCTAATTAAATTTAATTTTTGTATTACAGCCTGCCTTTTTATCAAATAGGACCAGAGTTGTCTTAGAGTTTGCAGAAGGGATCTTAGTTATGGTTAAATGGGCAGACTTCACCCTAACATTTTTTTTTATCTTCTGAATACTGATTTTGCAATTACATAGAATCATAGAATAGTTTGGGTTGGAAGGGACCTCTAAAGGTCATCTAGTCCAACCCCCAAACATGGTAACAGTAATTTTAATTTAGGGGATTTTTTTTTAAACATTGGGGAAAAAAAACCCACCAAAACCCACCAACAATCACTTAAAACTGTGATGATGCTAATTTGGAGAGGGGTGAAGAAGTGCATTTTGCCAGTATGCAATGTCAAAGGAACATTATGCCTTAGAATTGGCTCTAATTTCCCAGTTTTGCTAGTTTCCCAGAGAAAATGCTTTTAGGGAATAGATGGTTTTATTAATCTAATGCTACACCTTGACTTTTGTGCCCAGAATTACTTAATGATCTGTGCTGATACGGAGCATTGACTTCACTGCTGTCCTTGAAGTTTGGGATGTAGCGTACCTGCCCATGCTCTGGTGGTTAAATGCATAGTCAGCCTGTCAGAGCTGTAAGGGATAGCCAGAGTCCCATGAGGGTAGACTCTTCATCCTGTTTTGACTATAAACTAAGAAGATGTATGTATATGAATTTTAAGATGTGTATATAAGCGAGTTTTCACAGGAAAGTACTAAAGTGACCTTTGTCTACTACCAGCTGTCGCTCCCCCATGAATTTCAAATCTGTGCTCCAAAGCATCAAAATGCTAGAGCTTCTGAGAAAACAACAGTAGATACTTTGTTTGCTAGGTAGACAACTTTTCCAAGTCTAATTCACAGAAATTATTGATGTAAAAAAATCATTATGATGAATGGTCCTTTGTTTTATAAAACTTCCTCCTTAATAGCTTTATTTTATATAAGTTAAAAGATCTGAAAATATATAAAGAAAAGTATTGGATTAAAGGTGTTGGAATTTCTACCATTTCTACATATAATAATGTGTATGTAGCAAGGACTTGGAGAATTTCCATGTAAATGCCTACAGACGTAATTAGTAATTAGTAGCATTCCCTTATCTCCCTCCCTCAGTTAAAAAACCTGTAATTATGATTTCTAGTTTTGCTATGATAATGACATGAATATTTCCCAGTCCATATCTGTTTGCTGATACAGAACTGAGTAAAATAAGTACTGCAGAAGCAGATTTTAATCAGTTTAAACATAGTGGAGAAATTTAAATTTGAATGAGTGGCTCTGCAGTGTGGATTTAGAACGATATTGTGGAGTGATAGAAAAATATTCTGGTCCAAACTCCTTCTCAGAAGAGATCTAATCAAAGTTAGATTGTGTTGCTCAAGATGTTGTCCAGTGGGATTTTGACATGCCAGGGATGGACAGCCATCAGCCTCTCGGGGCAATCTGTTCCAGTGCATACTGTATTTTGTGTTTTGGCTTGGTCAAGAGTTGCCTGCTCAGGCAAGGTAGCTTGCTGCTGTACCTGGTCGTTTTTTTGCTCGTGGGATGAGCCATACATGTGCTTTAATGAGCTTGTCTTTGACTGACCAGCTGTCCTGTGCTCTTTTGTCCTTCAGCATCCCACGTGAGCCTGCCTGCCAGCTCCCCAGAGAAGCCATACTTTGCTTTCCTGCTGTCCAGTGTCATTTTCTATTTGCCTTCCTCACTTCTCTTAGTTTCCTGTCACACATAAATGCTTACTACTAACATCTGTGGGTTGCCACAACAGGGTCAGGGACTGTTTGCAATTAAAGAGTAGGTGCGGTAATGTTTTAGGTGGGGGACCTTATGTACATGGATTGCTTATCTGACATGGAAGTAATGTCTGCTTTTGATATTAAATCTCTCTCCGGTTCTCTAAGTTTTCAATAACCCATAGCCTTAATCAGTGTTTTAAAACCTTTATTTCTAAGTAGCAAGACTTTTGTTTTAAAACCTTTATTTCTAAGTAGCAATACATACAATGTATTTTATCAAATATCACAATAGTAACTTTTTTCATCATTTAAATGCCTCTTTTTCAGATTACATATTTCAGTCTGTGGTATTATAATAAGCAGAATCAGCGCAGATGGGTAGATTTGGACAAGCCTCTGAAAAAGCAGCTGGACAAATATGCCTTGGAGCCAACTGTGTATTTTGGAGTAGTGTTCTATGTGCCTACTGTTTCTCAGCTTCAGCAGGAGATTACCAGGTAAACTTCATACATGTGTCTATAATTTTGCTTTCAGCATTCTGAAGTGTATGGTTTATTTAAAAATTGTCTGCTTTCCCTCCCCAACCTCTATAGAAATGGAAGTCATTACTTTAGGCAGAATTTATGTTCAAACTGTGTATTTATTTCCCTTTCAAATATTTAAAATATGTGATGAACTAAGCAAACAACTAAATTTTTGGTGATCTTAGGAATCTATTCAAACCTGTTTTTAGTAATAGGCATACTTGCACGGTTAGACTTTTAATTGTTTTAGTCCCTTCATGTTTGTCTCTCTTTTTTTGTTTTGAAGAGCCATATGTTGCTTTTGAGGACGTCCATCCTGCACAAAGCACATGCAGATTTTATTGAGCTATGCTTTCCTTTATTTTGCTTTCAGTACTTTCTGTACTTTCGGTACAATACATTGGCAAACTACAGGCTAAGCTTTGGCTTGTGATTTTTTTTGTGTATCACTGGGCAATGAAGGTGGATGTTAGCTTTGATATCATAGATCCCTTTCTACTTTGAATCTGGGGAACATCACATAAGTGGGTGCTGGCTGCAGCGGAAAAGTAAAAATGAGTATATATACTGGCCGGTTATTCCTATGGGCCTAGTGTAGAAGCCTACATTGGCTTCTAGAGTCTTAATGTGTGTAGTTGTTCTGATTTAATTATTATTTTCAACAGGCAAATGAGTACAAAACCAGTAACTGGATTACAAACATATATTTGTTATTTCAGAAATATGTGCTTGCATTAATTAACCCATTTAAGCTGGTAACTCCAAGTTGGCCCTGCTTTGAGTGGGGAGCTGAACCAGATGATCACTTAGAGGTCCTTTCCAACTTAATTTATTCTGTGGTTACATGAAACTCTCTTTATATACCCTGGTGCTAGAATACCTTGCCAGCGACCTTTCCCACTAATTGTGGTGTGAAAGCTTTTCAGGGAGATAAGCCTCTTGGTGCAGACACTGGTGCTGTAATATATTGCTCAATGCCTGGCAGCTTTAGTTTCTGTTTTATGTGTAATTTCTGTAAGATTATTTTCTTTCTGAAAACTCTGAAGTTTTGGGCTTTTTCTCAGCAATTTTACTGGCTTAAAAAGTCATTCTAGTGGTCTTTCTTTTTTCTTTTTTTTTTTTTTTTAAGAAATCTTTGGTTCAGATTCTGTTGGTGTACTAGGATGCATTAGGGTAAGATATATGTAAGATATATTCAAAAATATATGTCATGGTGTTGCATTGAATAGCTGAATCGCCTGAAAAACCTTGAATATTCTTTTCTGGCATTTATTTAAAGAATATGATGTTTATGCTGAAGCTTTAACAGCATTTTTGCAGTGTGCTGCCACGTAGAAAGCAGGAATTTATGTGCCAACCTTACACTCATGTCCTAGGGGATGGTACTTGCTTTGATGTACGATAGTGAGAGTCTGGATTAGTTTCAGAAATCTGTGGATTTTTTTCATGCCTTTTCAATATAAGTGAGATTGAGCATGTTTAAGCAAATGATATGTTTAATGTATACTAGGAAACGGAAATGTTGTAGACAAAAGAGATGGTATTTGTACTAGCATGAGGTAGTGTCAAGATTCTTCGTCTGTATGTTTAGTTTTAATAGCAGTTTTATGGAAAGAGCTAATGTTCTACTGCTTGACTGGGAAGATTTATTTCCCCAAATGCCTTGATATGCGGTGGCTTTTTCCTTTCCTCTTTTTTTAAGGCCTGGGTTTAGCCCCAGCTGTTCTTGTGTGTGTTGTATAAGGATGTTATCTACTGTCACATGGCATACTGCTTTTCTGTAGTAGGATCCAGAAGAGTCTAAACAATATTTATAAAATGTCACTGTATTTAACACGCTGTTAAATAGTGAGGGAAGAGAGCCGTCTTTCTTAGCCTGATGAAAATTTGTGTGGAGTTTACCTGATCTTTCTAATCACTGAATGAATTGCAGCACATGCTTCCATGTTCTGAGTATTAAAGCCTTACTTCACAAGAGTTAACATACAATATGAGGAAGTTAAGAAGCTTTTAAAACTAGACTTACACAAGACAAATGTCCTTCTTGGCAAAGTCTAAGTAGCTATAATGGCATTTTTTAGTTTTGAAGTGTTTTGGGCTCAAGATAGGGTGTTCCATGGATGGCTGAAAGGGGCAGAAGAATTCAAGAAAATAGTTGTTCAGACTGTGGACAAATGGTACAACTAGTAGTGGTTGCATGTACAAGAGATGACCCAGGAAAAGGTCAGATTAAAGGAAAAAAAATGGTGCCTTGAAAGTGAGAACAAAATGTACTCAGAAGTTGTAATGCAGAAATAAAAGTTATTATTGTGAATGAAGGGATGTGCAATGTTAGATCTATTGGAAGAGAATGCAGCAATACAGCAGCAGTGTACTGAACATTGTAAAGAGAAGATAATAAGAATATTAAGGAAGGAAGAGGTAAAAATAAAAAAAAAATATGAGGGTATGGCAGTAGATAGAAATTTTGGGGATCCTTTGTTTTAAGAGGCAGCAGTATTTGATTCTGCAGTGATATGTGAAAGCTAAGGGAAGAGTTAACAAAGACCATGAAATAGTGGGTCCAAATGATGAGGAAGACTACCCTCCACACAAACTGGGGAATGTAGAGAGGAATAGGAAATGCAGGCATATTCATCTGCACTCTCTTTAAATTAAGAAACCCATATTAGCTTTTTCTTTTTTTCCCATGTAGGTATCAGTATTATTTGCAATTAAAGAAAGACATTTTGGAGGGGAACATTCCTTGCACACTGGAACAAGCAATACATCTGGCTGGTTTAGCTGTTCAGGGTAAGTAAGGCAATTGTGCCAATTAGCTAATGTTGCATTAGAAACTTTGGTGATATATTTTCTATTGCATGTTTTGTATTTAGCACTCAAAGACCCAATTCGGTAAGTTATGAAAGGCTTGCTCCTTAGAAACTTTGTCATATGGGCTGAGGAAGGGGAACAGCAGGATCGGTGGCCCTGAACTTGCTGGTATTTCTGTGCAGTCCTCAGAGGTGTACCTGGGTATCTAACATGTATTTTCAGCAGTTGGGTTTGAATTAGACATTGGAGTTTCTTTTGGGGGCAAAGGCTTTAGTTGTCTGCTTACATCGACAGACCTTTCATCTGTTTCTGTTAATGAAGACTCTTTATCCTGACATGGTAACGAGAGAAAGAGACATGTTTTAATAAATAAGCAAATTTGAATGTACAGTAGTACTTGTACCTCCGCTTTTTCTCCCAAATATCCTAGCACCTAAGATTATTTGAAATTAGTATGCGAGACTGTTAACAATTCCTATGTTTAAATCACTCCTGCAGACCCATTTCTGTGACACCTACATGAAAATGGCTGCTTTATTTTTCCTAACTGGGGTGAGATGGGATCGAGAACCGCCAGCCTTAAGTCTGTTTGCACTGATCATGTCTCGGCTTCCCTGCTAACATGCTTGTTCAATCTTAAATCTCTCAAAAGAAAAGTTTTTAATGGCAACAGCTTTGTTCAGTGTGTTTGTATATTGCTTCACAGTGAATGCCGCTCCAGTACATCTAACAGAAATTGTAAATCTGCCAAAATTGAAAGGGACTTAAAATCATTGCAGTACATACAACTTAAGTTTTTTTGTCTTTTTTTAGTTATATGTGTTGGTAGTATCACATTAAAGACGATGATTATGTTTTTTGAAAATGTGATTACCAGTGGAGTAGGGTGAATTGTATTAGTGCCTTGTTTATATAACAGTGAATCTGTTTAATCCAAGCCAGGATTTAATGGTCTTCAACTGACAAAATCTTGCTTTGTTATTTTCATATCTTTGGACACTGTAATGTCTCTCTGCTCAGTGAGTTGTTTTTAGAAATCTTTCAATATAATCCTCTTTCCAGGTGGAAAATATTTATCCTTTTAGCTTTCACATTCCTTTTTCAGTCTTGTATAAGAGAGAAACTGTATGTGTTCATAACACAGTGAAAAAATAACTCAGAAAAAACACAGGTTCTAAATTATTGTGCTCTGATGACTGAAGTAGCTTATACCAGGTATGTTAGTTAATTTTAGCTGGTGAACGAACAGAAGCAGTTGTTTGCTGTTTCGAGTGAACTGGTTTCAAGAATGATTTGTATTTGAAATAATTACAATAGGCTAATTCTAAACAGTGCTTTATCTCAAGTGCTGTGTTGGTGTAGCGTATCACAAGTTCTCCCCTTTCATCATAAATAACTTGCATGTTAATTGTTAATGCTTAATACAAATTTGGTTCCTAAATGTCTCTAACATTATACTATTATGGATGAGAATCTGTGGTAATGTAAATAGGATCTGTATACTTGGGGACCGTGTTTATATTTTTGGGAGCAGCCGTTCTGCACAGACTGCTGTTCCACAGTCTCTCCTGTGAGACTGGTACATAACTTTTCCAATTTAGACTGTTTATTTCTCTTCTTTGAAACATTGGCTAGTTTTTTCCTGGAAACAGAAAAAGAGGCAAATTCCTTGGGATGCCCTTTGGCATGATGTAAAATCAAAACTGTTATTAGGATCAGAACTGCATGCCCCTGAGTCTGGGAAGGCTTCTAGGTCCCACTTTCTGCGTGTCCAGGGGCAGGGAGCTGTAGAAGGCTTGAGAGCGGAAGGCTGCTCCAGCTGCTCTGTGCAGTGTTTGAGTCCAGCTGCAAGTTAGAGCAGTCTGCCAGCGCTATACTGCAAGTAATTAGCTATCTGACAGGAGGGAGTAAAGATGGAGCCAGACTCTTCTCAGGCAATGGGCACACATTGAAATACAGGAAATTTTGTCTGAACATGATAAAAGTTTTCTGTTGTGAGAGTGCTGAGACACTGGAACAGGTTGCCCAGAGAAGTTGTAAAATCTCCATCCTCTGTATTCAAAACTTGACCGGAGAAGGCTCTGAGACAATCTGCTGTAGCTGACACTGCTTAGGGCTAGATCTCCAGAGGCCCCTTCCAACCTCAACCATTCTGTGATTAAAAAAACAAACAAATAAAAATCCAAGAAACTAAGGAACTTGGAGCAACACTCTGATTGTTTTATCATTTCTTCTCCTTTCCTGTCCACACGGAGCGTTAACAATTTTTCTGAACAAGGTAAAAAGATGGGGTGTGTCTTTACTTTTCCTCTTCATAAACATTACTGGTTAGTTTGTTCCGTTGTTTTACTTTCAGATCGTAGTTCAATAGGATGGAGATTTGCTACTTGGAGATCCTGCTGCAATTAATTGGGTATTGAATCGTTTTGTTACAAATGTTTGAATCCAAGAAATTTTTTATTTTTTAGCTGATTTTGGAGACTATGATCAATATGAATCTCAGGAGTTTCTGCAAAGATTTGCTTTGTTTCCAGTGGTAAGTACTTACTTTAAATTGATAAGTTTAAATTCAAATCTTTCTTTAGATTGGTAAATGCAAATCATTGTTAAAGACTCCATGATCCATCTAGCTTACTACTCCCTAGATTGTCAAATTCAGTAAAGGTTTTCTTTGAGACTGGAGTGAGATATGGTACCTTGTATTGCACAGAAGCAAAGATGTTGCAAGATCTTTTCAATTTTATTGTATATGACACTGAAAAGAAGGTTGGGGTAGACAAGGGAAAGTGAGTAAAACCGCTTCAAAACAGTGTTTGTTTTGTGCTTTTTGTTTTTATTTGTGTGCATATTACAGCTTCTAAGCTCCAAGACTAGAGTGGAGGGTTAATTCGCCTGTGTAAAGAAACTATAACCATTTAATTTTGTAGGATTTTTTGTATTTCATTCTATAAATGCTATCTCACCTTAAGGGCTGGCTACAAGAAGAAAAAATATTGGAAGAAGCAACACAGAAAGTTGCCTTGCTACATCAGAAGTACAGGTAACATTTCTAAAACTCTTTATTGCTTAATTTTGATGTGATTGCTTCAGTAGCTCAGGAAGTTGGGAATCTCAGGCAGTTGGACTAATTTCACCTCCCACTTAAATGAGTTTTTCACTGATACATCTGCATTAAAATTAGAAAAATTTTTGCTGAATGAAAGTGAAAAGAGAACAGAATGACCATTAAAATAAATGAGAGGATTCTGCTTGAAAATTAAGAATACAGGACACAATTAAATAGCGTGACTTCACCTGCATAATGTTTCTGAAACCTGTTTATATTAAGTTGTGACCCCAGTAAGGATGTTTCTTGATAAATAACATTGGCAGATACTGAGGGCAGTAGAAATGTAGAGACAGTCACTGTGCCAGAATGCTTATGATCTTAAGTAAAAGGTAGCTAAGATGCAGTAGTCCAAGACAAAGGAAAGTTAAGATTTCTGTTGTTAGTTCATCAGTGAAAAATGTTTGTGACTATGTGAGTAATACTGATTACTTTTTCCTGTATTGTTTTAAAACAACCGTTTGAAAATTTCAAATCCATTTATCTTTGAAATGCTTTCGTAACAAGATTGCATGGTTAAGGTTCAGCAAAGAAAACTTAATCTGCATGACATCAGGAAAAAGTGAAGAAACAGAGAGGTTGATGATTGAAAAAGTATTGAGAGACATAAGAATGAGCATGACAGGATTTTGCAGGTAGAGATAATGTCTTTTATGAGATCAACTGAGGTAGGTAGGGAAACACAAGCTTTTAATCCCTGTGACACTACCGTAAGTCTGTGAGAAAACTGTCTTTGCCAGTTGGTCTAATTAAAAAAAAATATTATCTTTACCTACAGATCTTGTCCTTCTCATGTTTTCAAACCATTACAGTTAAAACTCTGTCTGCATTTAGAAAATGAGACTCTCTTTCCTGAAATGTGAAACATCAAACTTCATATTGGTCCTAAACATATATACTGCAATAGGAGAAATTCAGGTCTTGAACACGTGTGCCAGAATAATCATTCTGATAAAGTGAGAAAATATGGTGACAGTGAGGGATTTGAAGAAGAATGTGATAATTGTCTGCCGTTAGCAGAGATGATAATTTTAACTGGTCTTTGTTGCCATTTACCCCTAGAGATGCCTGAAAGAAAGAAGTTACTAGAATCAAAATGTAAAGGCTGAGACAAATATATCAGCCATCGGTACAGATGAAAACAGCATGATTTGATGGTTGCCTGGATGTCTTGGGGATACTTTTCAAGCTTTGACAGTGTCAGTCAGAGTAAAACAAAGATGATTTTTTCTTATTGACAGTACTAGCTGATTGTTGTTTTCATTTGTAGAGGCCTTACTCCTCCTGACGCGGAAATGTTATATATGCAAGAAGTAGAGAGAATGGAGGGCTATGGTGAAGAGACCTATCCTGCAAAGGTAAACAGGGCTTTGATCTTTGTCTCAGTTACTTTTTCCCCCCTATGTAAAAAGGGTTACTTCCTGCCATAAAACCCAAAAACCACACCACCCCTTTTCTGCCCCAAAATTGTAAAAGTAGTTGCTTCTCATGTAACTTTGCTTTCAAAGACTTTTTTTCTGTATTTGCATAACTTTTTGTAACTTCTTACAGGACAGCCAAGGAAGTGACATATTCATTGGAGCATGTCTTGATGGTATCTTTGTGAAACACAAAAATGGTCGTCCTCCTGTTGTATTTAGGTTAGTATTGTTCTTTCTTAAAATATCTTTGTGCACTTCACATTTTATGTGTGTTCCTCACTAGCATGAATGACTCTTAGGTACGATGTGTATTTATTCATTTGATAAACCTGAACATAGTCTCGTAGTTGTCACGCTACAGTGCATACTGAAGTCCATGGGAATTTTTCAACATACTGACTGCAGGATGAATCTCTTTAAGCTGGATTAATTCTAATGTGCATTCCATTGCAAAACATTTATTGAGACAAAAAGGAGCAATTCTCTGCACATAGAACATCTTAAGTCCTGAGATGGGCACGTCAATTTACTTAGAAATGCTCAATTGTAAAATTATCCAGGAGTTCCTTTCATATATTATATATAAAAGAAATAGAGGAGAGTCCCATGATAACATTTGTTTCATTATTTTGGATTCATACATTGTTTTAGTTTATTATTTAATGTTCTGATAGTTAAATTGTAGACATAGGCGTGTCTGCAACTTACCTAGCAGTTAAAATTCAGTCTTCATGTGAAATGGCCTGCTTCCCACTGACTTCAAGAGGGGTTGCTTGGGCATCTTTGGACAGAATTTGGAATAAATTTTAAAAAATACAGATTGATTTTTTTTAAATGACTCTTAGTTATCTGTAGTTATTGTTAGAGCAAGAAAGGCTTTATTCTTAGTGAACTTTAATCTTCTAGAATTGAATTTTTGGCTGCATATGAACAGAATCTTGAAATCCTGTGGTCCAACAGTTACTGGAACTCATGGTGAATTTCTGGCATTAGAGAAAGTAGCAACTGTGCTTCTTTCTGTTAGTGGTTTTGTTTAATAGAATTTATAAATAGAGTACTGTTAACTGTCCTTCACAAAAATCTCTATCTCTGCTGCTGATAGGAAAGCTGATGCCAAATTCTTTTTAATTCTGTAGGGTGGTAGAAGTGCCCTACTCTGCTTTCTTGCAGAATGAAGCAGTAACAGCTCTGCTGCCTGACTTTCCAAGCACACGGGGGAGAGGAATAAAGCTTTGTCCATGCATTTTGCACAATTTCCCAAAGAATTGTGGATGCAGTGTCTGTGTAAACATAAGAAAAAAGTTGCACATTGGAGACCATCAGAAAGTATTCATGTTCCAATTTCAGGATCCAGTTTTCTGCTCTATTGCTTCTTTGTTGTATGACTATAGGCAGTTCTACTGGGGATAGATACATCATGGTATTTGGGTGGCAAAAAAGCATAGACAAATGACCTGCTAGTACAATTTACAAAGGCTGGGTTATGCTTCAGATTAGTTCAAGTAATTTCATGATTGCGTCCATAAATGGCCTTAAATTTGAGGGATCTTTGTTCTGCATCAAAATGGGGACATTAATGTTTCTCTACCTCATACATATGATGGTGAGTAGCTATAGAAAATGCTATCAGCCACATCTATATAATGAAAATGGAAGTCGTATAAATACGTATAAATACCTTTAGAGAGAGTCCTGTATATAGATCGTGCTTTTTCCCTGTGTTTGTGCACTGCAGAATATTCTTTTAATAAATCAGTGATATAGGCTTTGTTTACACTAACATAACACTAATGGATCAAACTACATTTATATTTAACAAGAAGTTGAATAAATATATGGTATTATATTTCTTGCAATCTAACTTTTTCTCATCTGTCAATATGCAAGAGAGTTCTAGAAAATATGTATAATAATGCCTTACTGGCTTTGTTTAGTGTAGATTTTTTTTTTTCCTAGAATGTATGGTTTGCTTTCAAGCAGTTGGGACATTATAACTTACTGATAACTAAATTTGTCTAAATTTGATTTTTTTTTTTTTTTAAGAAAAAGAACACTTGAAAGAATTTCAAGTGGAAGACAAGTAATAAATTTATTACTGTACATGTTGTGCATCTTCAAAAGAGTTAGTCACATACGTATTTTCCTTTCAGCTGTCATTTAATGGATATGGAAGTGATGGTCTGCAACTTGTTCAGATAGATTGATGAACTTTTTATTTATCCATATTCTTGGTGGTGGTTCTGGTCTTCAGTTGCATTTTCTGTGGTTTGAAAATCAGAGCTTGCCAGTCATGTTCTGTCCCTTTTGTCTACAGGTGGCATGATATTGCCAACATGTCCCACAACAAATCCTTTTTCGCATTAGAGCTGGCAAACAAAGAAGAGACAATCCAATTCCAAACTGTGAGTAGATTTTTACTTTATTTTTTCGCTAAGGCATCAGGAAATAAAAAGACAAATTAAGACTGCTAATTTAACTCAAAGGATAAAAACTACTTGATATATATTTAGCAACTTTGAACTGTATGAGTGAGTCAAAAGTAATACTGTCTCTGGCTAGCTTTCTACAGGAAGGCGTTAAAAATTTGACCTTTTATGTTGAGTACATTGACAAAGTTGGTTCAGGTGGTCATAAACATTTTCATCCATTCCAGTAAAATTTCTAGCATGTTTTTTTGACTTTCAAATCAGTGGCATTTAAAGATAAACATGGTCTTAGAGCTTTGCTGGAATGGGCCACGGCATTCCTTGCAGAATTAATTTTAGGAGCATCTGCCAGTTGCCTTTGTCAAGAAAGCAGCTGTTGACAATCTTACGGCATGATATATATATATACTGTAAATTGTGTTAGTGTTATAGCTGATAAGAGTGTCTTCAACAAAAGGCTGCTACTTTCAACTTGCATAAATCTAATACAATTGTTAGGCTAGAATGCATGTTCAGGCCCGCAAAGTACAGTTTTAGGGAAAACCTGGTGACAGTAATGAAGTTACATTAAAACGAAATCGGTCAATGCTAATTTACTCTTAAAAATTTCAGTGGCTTGTCTGAAAGCAAGTGAAGGGTATGCATATTTGGCCTAATATGCAAATTTTGTTTTTGTTTTTTGGCAGGAAGATATGGAAACAGCAAAATATGTGTGGAGGATGTGTGTGGCTAGACACAAATTTTACAGACTAAATAAATGCAGCCTGTAAGTAGAATACATTAGCAGAACTCTTGATGCCCTTGAAGCTTCCATTGGGAAGTGAAATCTTTTATAACCTCTGTAATGTCTTTATAGAGGTCCTTTTTAGATGGTACTAATTAATGACTTGGGGTTTTTTTCTTAATCTTTTTTGAGAAAATACTTATCAACGGTTTCTCAAACATGTTCTGCTTTATAACAGAGGACAATATTAAACACTGAAATCTTACCAAAAGTAATAGTGTTTGGCCCCAGCTGCTGGATCTCAGTGCTGTGACAGACTAGTTGCTTTGGGGGCTACTACTGCTAGAATGTTTGTGAGCTACTGGGATTTTGGCCTGGGTTTGGGTGAACTGCTCTGAAAGGACACTCTAGAGGCCTTTAAAAGGGCGGGAAGTGTATGTGAAGCACTCCTGAAATGTGCTGGATTGACAGCTGAGAGGTATGTGGTCCTTTGGATATCCATGGAATCCGTATAGCTCAAGTAGCACCAATGCAAAGTAAATTTAATACAATTCATCAAATTAAATTTAAATGGGCTGGTCTCCAACTTGTAAATCAAGGGCTGGAATTTGAGCTACTCCACTGGTACAGCTTTCCTTCAGTTAAGTTACTTCAGTCAAAGAATAGAGAATTAGACCCAGTGAATAGTCTGTCATGAAAAAAGCATGATTCCCGAATGTTCTATTCCTCTTCTTTGTACACGAGAAGATAGCTATGGAGGGGTTGGTCCAAAATTTGCTGAGGCCAGTGGAAAGATAATGGAATATTTTGTACCGCAGATGACTCGCTAGTGTTTAATGCTAATTTATTTTAGAAGAGTAAGATTAGTTTGGAACAGAGTAGACCTCATACCTCTAAGCTTGTAAAGCTGGCTGCCTTCTGAGAGAGATAAGAAATATTGGTAGAAGCAGTGCATTTGTGGGACTTGTGCATTGCTATCTGAATAATGTCAGTTCTATAGTTCTGTATTGAATGTCAGTCTCTAGGTTTACTTATGTTAACCCTTTCACCACAACATGGTTTTATTAATAGGTAAAGTCCTCAAGAAAACTTTTCTGGTTATCTCTACTCTAAGATGACCTGTCATCTGGTCCTGCTGCTGAAAACTGTCTTACGCATGCCTGTATTAAGTTCAGGGTTTTTTTTTCTTTATCTGTACGTACCTTGTCTTTAGAGACTCCCTGGACTCTCCACCTGAGGAGGGCTCTCAGAAATCTTCCCTCATTCTTTCCCTTCCACGCTTTCCAATCCTTTCTCGTCCTTCACTTCCCAAAGGGTGAGCTGAAAAAATCATCTTTCTTTCTGAAATCTGGCAATTCCTGCATTTGTATTATTCTGCTGTCTTTTGACCTCTGTCTTGCTTTAAGATGCAGAGTACAGGTGCAGTGTAGGGTGGGGAAAAAGGAGCTTAAGGTTTCTGAACCTTACATCCTGGAGACAGTCCAACAAATTATGAAAATTTATTACCATTAGCTTGAATGTTAGAACGCACAAATGCTTATGCAGTATAGTCACGCTTTCCAGTTCCTGTAACATCTGTAATGTTACGTTCTGTAAACGATTTTATGTCTGGTCTTGTAGAACAGGTAACTTACAGTATGAGATTTTTATATGGGGTTCAAATTTGGAACTAGTGCCCAGTTACTCCACTGCTTTTTCTGCCCTGCTGCGGTGCTTCAGGGATGTCTCCTTTTTATGCTTCGTAGAAAAGAGGCAAAGATATAACTGAGGTATTTTGGTCCTGGTTTTGTGATTCTGTTCATACTGTCTGCAATGGTGCTTTATGCACAGAGCTCTTGTTTTGAGACTGTTGGGGAGGACTATTTAACACCGGGCCTGGCTCCAAGAAATGTAGAGTGATTTTTAACTGAACTTGGGAGCACTTTCCGAGGTTTGAAATAGGTCTTGGTGTTGTTAAGAATCATTTCTCACCATAAAATTTCTTCTGTAGACAAACCCAGCCCGTTACAGTGAATCCTGTTAGAAGGCGGTCTTCGTCCAGGATGTCTATGGTAAGGAGAGCAAATAGTTTTGTATTTGCGTTTTTATGGATTTCAATTGACTTTTAATTAGGCATTAATTTCTTTCAGTGAAATAAAATGACCAGTGAAAAAGATGAGTCTAGTATGTGAGGAACTGTTTCTGACTTGTAGAAAAAGCTGCTATGTAGTATCTGAATAATGGAATTAAAATAATTGCAATGAAAAATATTTTAAATACTTCTATTTTTAGTTTGATTGCTCTGTCTCTAGGAGACTCATCTAGGAGACTCTCCTAGATGTCAGATGGCAAGATACAGTCTTGGGTTGGTTTTGTTTTGGGGTTTTTTTTATTATTTCTTGTATAACCTCACAGGAGAAACTTACATGGCAGATTTAGAGAAATGGTTTAAGACTAAGGCTTTCTGTGTGTATTATACATTATATATTATATATATAATATTATACATTATGTATAAAAAAAATCTTCAAGACTAATTTTTAAAATAAATCATGAGTTTTTAACTAACAATAAAATGCTTGCTTTCTTAGCCCAAGCCTCAGCCTTATATGATGCCTCCACCACCTCAGCTGCATTACAACGGTCATTATACTGAACCATATGCATCCTCCCAAGGTAAATTCATTAAATCCAAGGCCACACTACACAACTTCAGAAGGTAAAAGCTATAATTTGCATTTATAGCTACTTTAGCTAGATCTGAATGAATTCATAGGGTGAACATGGGATAGATTTGTACTACAACACTCATTGAAGTGCTTGCTGTTACTCTAGGCATATAGGCTAATATGAAATAGAATCATAGAATCGTTTAGGTTGGAAAAGACCTTTAAGATCATCAAGTCCAACCGTTAACCTAGCACTGCCAAGTCCACCACTAAACCACGTCCCTAAGCACCACATCTACATGTCTTTAAATACCTCCAGGGTATCTTTTTAGTATTTGTAACAGTTCATTTTGAGAGGCCATTTCCTCTTGTCCTATCGCTTGTTACTTGGGAGAAGAGACCAACACCCACCTCGCTACAACCTCCTTTCAGGTAGTTGTAGAGAGTGATAAGGTCTCCCCCGAGTCTCCTTTTCTCCAGGCTGAACAACCCCAGTTCCCTCAGCCGCTCCTCCTCCGTGTTCTCTCCTATGGGATATGAGCAAAGTTAGTTATGATGATAGCATATACAGCAACTATAGAGTCCCTTGTGTGAGTTTTATCTGACCGTCAGTTTTTTGGTTCGTGTACCAAACTGGTATGTTATGGCATTGTGAGATCCTTGTCAATATTGATCTTAATAGCTGCAAAGAGTAACTGAGCCCCCAGATAATTCAGACAAATAAAAAAAAAAAAAAATTATTAAACCCAGGATGCAGGAAGAAAGAAGTTTCTCTTAGAGTTCGCTAGACTACAAGGTGGTGGGGAATTCAAAGGCCGAGGAAGTCTGCAAGTTATGGAATTGGTATACATTTGATTGAAAAAAGGAAAGAAGAAAACCCAAGCAAACCCTAATTAGAATTCTCAAGGGATACACACTCCTAATCTAAGCTGTTTACAGTGCAGTCATGGCTTCTTTCTCTCCTTTTTTTTTGATTGTACACATTGTGTCTTTAATTAACAAAGTTGCTGCCCTGAAGGGCTTAATGTAATCTTTTGCAAAGTTGCCTCAGTTTTGATAGGGACCTTCCAGTCCCACAAGTCAGCTGGATAAAAGTCTTGTGGTACTTTATCTACTTATGGCCTGGGGGCGGAGAAGAAGAGTGAGGGGTTTTTTGTTTGGTTGTTGTGGGGATGTTTTTAGGTTTTTGGTGCTTTTTTTGTTTGCTTTTTTTTTTCTTGCTGTTTAAACCAATCTCATTAGATTAGTGCAAACCCTGGTGTAGACGTTCTTTCTTTCAATTAGTGTGGTTTAAGATTGATATGGATTTTGTTTAACTTGGACTGAAACTTAGCAAACCTATCCTAAACAGAAGAAAGCTGTTCTTAAACTGAGACAATGCTTTCCAACAGGAATTTGCATCATCTAAATGAACATAACGGGTTATTCTGGTATACATACCTTAGGTATCAACAACAACAAAAAAGCTGGGGTTGGGTTTTTTTTCCTTCCCATTTTCAATACATGTTTGAGATTTTGAAAATCTCAAACATTGGTTAGCTACATCTTAATAGAGGATATTTTTGTTTAATGTCTTGGACATAAAGATTGTTCTTAAACTTTACTTTCAGATAACCTCTTTGTGAGCAATCAGAATGGATACTACTGTCACTCTCAGACTAGCTTGGATAGAGCCCCTCATGACTACAGTGGTCGGATCCGCAATGGTAGTGTCTATAGTGCACATAGCACAAACTCCTTGAACAATCCACAACATTACTTGCAGCCGTCCCCCATGTCCTCTAACCCAAGCATTACTGGAAGCGATGTCCTCAGAACTGATTATGTCCCATCACATAGACACAGTGCACTAATACCACCTTCTTATCGTCCCACGCCAGACTATGAAACTGTGATGAGACAGCTCAACAGGGGAATGGTGCACACAGATAGGCAGAGTCATTCAATGAGAAATCTTAACATCAGCAATTCATATGCTTACAGCAGGCCTGATGCCTTAGTTTACAGCCAACCTGAAATACGAGAACATGCTCACATCGCTTCCCCACAATCTAACCATTATCCATTTAACCTGAACTACAGTTTTCATAGCCAATCCCCCTATCCGTATCCTGCTGAAAAGCGCCCGGTTGTTGGGGCAGTCAGTGTGCCCGAGTTGACAAATGTGCAGCTACAAGCTCAGGACTATCCAGCACCAAATATAATGAAGACCCAAGTCTATCGACCACCTCCCCCATACCCGTACCCAAGACCTGCAAATAGTACTCCAGACCTTTCACGACATATCTACATTAGCAACAGCAATCCAGATCTTATCACAAGGCGAGTGCACCATTCTGTCCAGACATTTCAGGAAGACAGCCTACCGGTGGCACATTCTCTGCAGGAAGTCAGTGAACCTCTAACATCGGCACGCCATGCTCAGCTGCAGAAAAGGAACAGTATTGAAATAGCAGGCTTGACTCCCAGCTTTGAAGGAATAAGAATTAAAGAGAGGACCATGTCAGCTTCTGCAGCAGATGTGGCTCTTCCAAGAGTTATCTCAGAAGGGTCACAGTCCAACATTCTGATGGAGAGAACAAAGCAAAAAGAAAGTGAGCAAGAAGAAAGTGTGAACTGTGATCATAAGAAAACCCTTTCAGATGCCACTATGCTGATTCACAGTAGCGAGGAAGAAGAATTTGAAGAAGAAAACAAAGCTAGTACAAGTCTTTCTCCTCTCCCTGAAGATCAAACCCAACTTCCATCTGTTATGGGGGGTTATTCTCATGATTCAGTACTGAACTACCCTTACAGCTCTGTTGCTTCATCTGCTGGCCCTTTGCATATTCTTGAACCTAAATTACATATAACAGAGACAGAAAAGAGAATGAAAGATATGAGCCCCGTTCATTTACTAGTAGAAAGCCAGGTACAGAGAAGAGGGGAAGGACTGCTTACTCCATCTATGTCGGAATCTGATCTTACAACATCAGGGAGATACAGAATAAGGAAAGATTCAGTGAAGAAGAGACCTGTGTCCGATCTTTTGTCTGGGAAGAAGAATATTGTGGAAGGCCTTCCCCCGCTAGGTGTAAGTAGATACTATTCCTCTTGTTTCGGGTTGTTCTGTAGCGGGAGTTGTGTGGGGTTTTTGTTTGAGGTTTGGGGTTTTTTTTAAATCAACCTGAGATGCTTTTAAAACATGTGAATTAAAAGCTACCTTAAGCTTGACCTTTATTTTTCTGTTTTTCCCTGATTAACTTTGCTTAGCTATCTTTTATCCCCTTCTCTGCCATGTCTGAATTCTGTTTGATAGTCCTCCCACACAAATCCAGCTGTGCAGCCTCCATTGATCTGATACACCTAACCTGGCTAGCAACTGTAGAATGAGCTAATTTAAAGTCAGTTCTAGATCCGAAATTCTGCCCTACCTATCCTTACCTGGAACAGAAGCAACTCTTTCCATTCCACTACCAGCTTTCTAATCTTCCTCTCACTGAAAAATCGGATGTAGCTGAATGTGTACTTTCTTTGATTCATTTGCTTTCTTCTTCTGACCTAAGAGGGGGACCTGACGCATTAGGCAATTAAATTCTTTCCTTGTGTACTCTTCTTTCCTCCATCCCTTCCCCTTTTCATATCCTTTCCCTTTTGCCTTCCCTTCAAGCTGTTTTTATCCCACTAAAGATATTTCTTCCTTGGCATGTCTCTTTCCCCTACTCCACTCTTATGAAGCCATAAATAGTGAACAACTGCAAGTTTCACCTTCCCTCTAATTCCGACCTCACAGAAACATCAAGGTCTGTGTGGGACTGTACAATTTTACTGGCAGTCCTTACCACTCGTTTTAAGCTTTTGTTCAGTTTTATGTAGTCTGTGGCATATTTCAGGTACTAATGGAGGAAGACCATTTTTATTATTATTTTGCCTTTTAAAATAGATTGTTGTTAACTTTGCCTGCCTGAGTTAGTGTCAGATAGTTTTCTGCACAAATTGGACTGCAGTGGAACTACCATATAACTTCTACTGCTGTAGTAACTGTTACAGCTGATGCTGCAAAAGCTAACCTATGCAAAAGCTATGTATTTAAATAGTTACTGCTCTCACAATTTTTTATCTGTCAGATCTGCTATACATGGAGCTGAACACAATGAAATGAACCTTAATGAGCTTCAATTAATTTTATAATTGTGTATGTTTTTCTAAATCTCTTTCTTCCTGTTTGTTATGTGGATATAGGAAAAAAAGGTGATACCTTTCTCCTTGTGTTCACATTTAGATAGTCACTTAGTATTTTGTTCTCCAAAAGATACATTTTCAGACACCGATGTGTCTACCAAAATCATACCCTGCCTTTTCCTTCTGATAGCTATGTAAATGTTCAAGTCAACCTTTGAAATGAAATTGATATTAAAACTTTTTCACTGGAAGTGTTCAGTAAAATGCTTTCTAGTTCAGTAACATTTAAGAGTACCATTGCATAATAGAGAATATTACCTTTCTGTATTCAATATTGAGATGAATATCCTGGTAACAAAGCTGGCCCCTACCAATGTTTGCACATTTTGCTTTTCAATGAACTCTTACTGTTGCGTTTGTGATCACTTCACTTTTAAATGTGGTGTCATCCTCTTGGCTTTGTCTTCCTATTCCTTACTACCATTTAGCTTTTGAAAGCATTGATTATCATTCAAGCAGCATATACACTCACATTTTCAGTGTATTTTTGTCAACAACGAAACTTAGCAACTGCAGGAATGATGAAGTTTTCTCTTACACTTTTTAAAAGAATCATTTGAATTTATTCTTTCGTAAAAATCCCCCTTTGGTATTTTTCTCAGATAACGAATGGTAACTTTGATAATTTAGATGCATGGCCTGGTTCAGGGCTCAGATCTGTCTGCAGTTCTGTGTTCATGTTTTGTATGTGCAGTTTGTTGCAAACTTAGTCAAACATTTAACTGTATCCAAATACCTTAAAGGTATACATGCTCATTGTTATGCCTGCTTGTAGGGAAGAAAAGTGCCTGCAAACTGCATAAGTCTAGTAAGGAATCATTTTTATGTATTTTTGGGGTTGGAAAGTGATTTCAATTCTGTCCAAGAATGTTAATTATCCAGAGTTGTCACCTCACACCCTTGGTTGTGAGCTTTGTAGGGAACAATATTTGTTATTCTCATGCAGTTTCATTAACCTGTCTGGAATGAAGACAGACTTGTGTTGTGTCCTTGCAGGAATGTAGTCCCACCACCCTAATCTCTCACTGCAGTGCTTATCAAAAAAAAAAAAAGGTCAGAGCTGTTTGCAGAAGGGGTCAAAGAAGTATCCTTTGCTTAATTGAACTCATCTGGTTTCTGCTTTATAAATTCATCAGATATTTAAGAATATTGACAAGTTTTAGCTTTTCTTTTGCAGGGTATGAAAAAGAATAAAAATGATGCAAAAAAAATAGGGCCTCTAAAGCTAGCTGCCCTAAATGGACTAGCTTTGACTAGAATGCCTCTGCCAGATGAGGGGAAGGAAGAATCAACAAGAGCAACAAATGATGAACGGGTATGTTGGAGTTTTTTAATGCTTGATTTCTCTTTTATACTAGTGATTTTTCAAAATGAAATGCGTATGAATGGTGCTTTGTGTTGACTTTAAAATGCTTCAGATTCAAAGCAACTCAAATACTGAGAATAGAAACAAAATGAAGAATGAGACTTCTGATTGTTAAGTCATTGCTAGAAGTATTGGGTGTAACTCAGATTTTTCTTTAAGATGACAGTGATTCAGATTATAGTTTTCCCTTTAAACATATAGGAAGCAAATCAAATTAACTAGTATCTACCGATACATTTTTGCGCCAAATCTTTCTGTTTTCTCTCTTAATTTTTGGGTTTTCCAGACTGAAAAAATATGAAAATTAAAATTCTGAGTGTGAGATTGAATGTCGTTGTAATTATTAGTAATTCATACAATTTTTACAGTAAATTTTGTAGTTAAATTGCATCCCCAGGGTACAGCTTGTGCAGATTGTATTTATCTGTTTTTCTCAGGTGGATCCCTAAAAATATAGATGGAACTTGTGTGATCTGCAGAAATTTTAAATTCAGTAAAAAATCTCAGATCACTGAGAGGATATCAGGTTCTAGAATTTGAGGATCATTCTTTGAGAAATATAAGACTCCATCTGCTTGTGTCAGGGTAAACGACGTCAGTAAATATACTTCACTTTGCCTCGTATATCATAAAATAAGTGCAGGAAAGTAAAATACAGTCAGTATCCAGCCTGTGAAGGGCTATGTACAACAGTGCTGTCATCACACATCTGACCAGGGAGCAACTAGATACACCAAGGTCTACAGTGATTATTGTACATTCTGCGACCAGTGGTCTCCTTAGAATCCATTTCTGAGCATGGTTGGGCATCCTCAGCTGCAGACCCCCTCTAGCTCAATTTGTTTGGTAGTCACTGGGCAGGGATTAGAACCTATAGGAACAGTCCTGCTCTCAGCTGCAGTTTTAAGGAACAGGCCAAGAAAATTTAATTGCAAGTCACACAGTAGAAGTTCAGTCTTGGAGTTTGAAGGCGTGGAGTGAGATCCATAGGAGGGAGATTTGACTGTTCCATTTCAACACAGTTGAAGTTCTTTTTGAACTATATAGACACTCCTTAAAGATGCTAAAGGACAAAAATTAATATTGTGTTATTGAGATACAGTTCTACATTTGTTGGTTATTTACTCTTGCTTACAGCCATCATCTCTTCCTGGATTGACCTTTATTGAATTCAGCCATATTATTATTCAGCTAGCTCTGCCCAAAGTGTTGAGGTAAAAGAAGAATCCATAAAGTCAAGTTCTGAAAAAGACATGTCATTACACTTTCTCTTCAGGCAGTCATGTAGAGGCAGAATAGATACTGTGAAATGGAAGTAATTCCTAAAACAGTTGAGACAAGGCAATGCAAAGCAGACATGTGACATGAAAAGAAGTCCAGACTGCAGATATTTTAGAAGACAACTTTAAAGTTGATTCAGTGCCTGTTTCATTGCTCAGCTTCATGTTATTATCAGTTTAAATGAGGGAATTGAGCCTAAAGATGATAAAGGAGTTTGTACAGTTGATGTATTGATGTGCAGACTGCATATGATTGAGGTTTTACACCTTCCTCTGCAACATTTGGTATTATGGTTATTTGATACAAGGCACTTTTCTGACCTGATACTGTGGAGCAGTTGCTGTGAGAGGCTGGGGACATGTGACATAGATGAAATTTTCTGGCTGAAAACTTACATATTATTCCTCTAATTATTGTTGGCAAAGAGATGCTGAAATTCCAGGAGTGTCTTATGATTTAGAAAGAACTTGGTTTCGAAAGAATAAATCGGGGGGGGGGGCAGAGCAGAGGGAGGGAGGGAGGGAGCAGCTTATTAAATAAAACAGATTGAATTCTACTAGTAGAAAAAATCATGGGTTTATACCTCAGCTGCAACAAGAGGCTCTAAGAAGGCTTTGCTGCTGTATGCAAAGTTTAATATCTTCAGCCTAAGAAAATGTGGAATTGGTAGTGAACTTTTCTGACCTGATACTGTGGAGCAGTTGCTGTGAGAGGCTGGGGACATGTGACATAGATGAAATTTTCTGGCTGAAAACTTACATATTATTCCTCTAATTATTGTTGGCAAAGAGATGCTGAAATTCCAGGAGTGTCTTATGATTTAGAAAGAACTTGGTTTCGAAAGAATAAATCGGGGGGGGGGGCAGAGCAGAGGGAGGGAGGGAGGGAGCAGCTTATTAAATAAAACAGATTGAATTCTACTAGTAGAAAAAATCATGGGTTTATACCTCAGCTGCAACAAGAGGTTCTAAGAAGGCTTTGCTGCTGTATGCAAAGTTTAATATCTTCAGCCTAAGAAAATGTGGAATATTGGTAGTGAATTATTAGCTTGTTGACTGAGGCAAGTGGTTTGTTTTACATTTTTAGAGTTCTTCTCCATCCAAATGACAAAGTTGACTTAATTTTTTTTGGATTACAAGATTAAAGGAGACCTTTTCAAATGATGTAATCTAACATGCTATATTGAGCAGGAGGATTAATGAGTATTTCTTGTTCAAAGGTATTTGAGGCGATTTGTAGTATAGCATAGCTATCTGGTTTGGCCAAATATTTCTTTGGCCGACTGGGTTGTCTTTATAGAAACGATGAAGTAATTTTTCTTTCACCAGCGGTATCCAGTCTTTGTGACCTAATGAAGTGTAACAGGCTTCTTAGTTTTCACTTGAACAAAATTCCTGCTGGTTAGGGTTACTTCTAGTTTATTCTGGTATGTTTTTGAACATTAATAGCTGGAAAAGCATTGAAAAAGTATGTAGGAGAGGAAAATACATACATTTTATCCTTCATGAATTCTCTGTTAAAATAGACTCGCCTTAGAACGTGACTTTGTATGGTTATCTGTGTTCTGTCTTTCAGTGTAAAGTTCTGGAACAACGGTTAGAGCAGGGGATGGTGTTTACTGAATATGAGCGCATTCAGAAAAAAAGACTTATAGATGGCGAGTGCTCAATAGCTCGGCTTCCTGAAAATGCTGAAAGAAACCGGTTCCAGGACGTCCTTCCTTATGATGATACCAGAGTAGAGCTAGTCCCAACCAAAGAAAATAACACGGGTTACATCAATGCATCTCATATCAAGGTGAGAGAAATACTGTTGGAGAAATATTTTTCCAGTTCATCCATTCCATAAAAATGGATTTGGCTATCAGTTTTGGTTTGGTCAGATGAGTGAGAATCCCTCCATCTCTCTCTCTTTCCCTCCTTCTGCAGAGGTTTCTTTGGGGAAAGGAGGAAACTGTTTTTCCTCATTATCTAGAATAATGGAGGGTTAATTATTGGAGAGGTCTTCTGCATTTTGCTTCTGTATTGATCTACTGTTTCCTTTCTCTCTCTGTCTCGTCTCTCTGTGGATTGGTGCTAACAGAAGGCATGTCCATTCTTGCCAGAGTTAAGAAGGCAAATAGCTTTATAACAAACTGGGATCCTTTGCAATGATTATGATATTTTTGAACTGCAGTGACAATCCTTATTATTTCTTACTCTTCTGTACTCTCAGACTAGATCCACAACAGGCAGTAAGCTGGCTCCCAGCTTAAGCTTTTTTGGATGGTTAGAGGAACAGATGGAGCCGGGAGAAATCTGCTCTTTCATAATCTTCAGTTGCCCCCTTTCCCCAGCCTTAGCTCTTCAAACTCTGTTTAAAAAAGTGAAGAAGTTGCAGGGCAACCTAAAGAACCTTCAAGGCAGTTAATTCATTTTCAATGCATTTACTTACTTAAAGTGCAACTACAATTGGCTTCATGCTTTCCCTGAAAAGAGTTGAGATCGTCAAAGCAGCAGTTGTAGTTGTGTTGCTGTCTTTTTTAATAAATCTGTTTGTACACTGACATGGTACCGTAGTTTCTATACTTCAACTCATTCACAAATGTTGAGTAACTCTTATGACCCTTCTCAAACAAGATAATATTTTTTGAGGAAACATCAGCTAATTCCGAATTTTTAGTGCATGTAATAGCATTTGCAGCACCAAGGTATGAAAGCTTCTCTAAACCCAAATTGGCTAGAATACCTTAAATTCACAAAAGAGAAATACAACTTTATTTACTCACCTTTACGTTATGCTTATGATGTAAAATACATTTATTTAGCTATGTGCCTATACAGTTTTAAATATTGTGTCTCTTCTGCATCTAATGTGACAAGATGCAGCTAAAAAATGGGAGGAGATATAACTCACAATGGGCTTCTACTCCTGCAGTGTTGCTGTCTTTTTTTCAGTTTGTGCCTCTTCAAATGGCTGACTTAAGAATTGGGGAAAGGGAGTTTTCAATAATTACTAATCTAATGTCTGTCTTTTTACAGATCTCTGTTAGTGGCATAGAGTGGGATTACATTGCTACACAGGGCCCTTTGCAGAATACATGTCAGGATTTCTGGCAGATGATCTGGGAACAAGGGATTGCCATCATAGCTATGGTGACGGCAGAGGAAGTGAGTATAAACTGAGTCAGGTTTCTCCCAGAAATTCTGCAATGATTTTGTTATGATCTGTTAGAGGAAGGGGATCTTTGCTCCAACAAGAAGACCAATCAAAGATAAATGTCTAGTTACCCCTTTGCCATTCTGTCTTGCTTTCCTTGGCAGAAAGATGTAAATTTGCAAACTCTTTCCGCTGGAAAGTTGGTTTACTCAGTGAGAAACCATAACTGTCGTAGTACTTAATAGAGGAGAGATACAGTTGTTACAGGAGCATTAGTTGTATGAGTGTTCTTAATGTTTCTTAATGTTTCTTGTTAAGCAAGTGTTTTACTTTTAAGGAAAGCGGGCGAGAAAAAAGCTTCAGATACTGGCCACGTCTTGGTTCAAGACACAACACTGTAACATATGGAAGATTTAAGATTACTACACGATTCCGTACTGACTCAGGCTGCTATGCAACTACGGGTTTGAAGATTAAACATCTTCTCACAGGACAGGAGAGAACAGTTTGGCATCTGCAGTATACTGACTGGCCAGAGCATGGCTGTCCAGAGGATTTAAAGGGATTTCTCTGTAAGTTGTATTTAATAGCTTTGTTTTTGGGTTCGTTTGTTGGTTTTTTTTTTTAATACCTCCTAAAATGGCTGCTATATGTGAATTAGCTTTTGATAAGTATGCCAAGCATTCTGCTGTAAAAGGTTTCTTCACACCAGCAAGAGATACTGAATTCTATTTTTGCAGGAATATACCTGCCAGTTTGTTAAAGTGACTGTTTATGTCTAAAGCCAAATATATAATTTACTAAAAGTTCATATAGATTAAAACATAACTGCATCACATACTACGCATTAGAATATGTTCCAGCAGTAGCAAGATGGCCACGAGCCACCTTTGGTGGGGAATAGGGGAACAAGGCAAGGAAAGCCTTACAAAAGTTAGATGATCTTTATAGATCTGTATTGCTTTGGTTGGGATATGACTTGTGATTTATACAGTGCATCATTTTTCTGTGGGATGTCATTTGTTAAATTACTACTTTTCTGGTGGTCATACAGCGTAATGGCATGGCTTATGGGGCTTCATCTCCTAAATTTATTATTCTTATCTTGTTGAACTTAATAGCATACTTGGAAGAGATACAGTCAGTGCGGCGCCATACGAACAGCACTGTGGATCCTAAAAACTCTAATCCTCCTGTACTGGTACATTGCAGTGCAGGTGTAGGACGAACAGGAGTGGTCATACTGTCAGAGATCATGATCGCTTGCTTGGAACACAATGAGGTGATCTCTTTTTCTTTCTCGTGCTTTAAATAATGTTAGGTAGTGGAAGAGTAAATAACCTGCCTTATATATATTTTATGGCTGTTCATCTGAGCGTTCCCAAGATGTGGCCTTTGGAAGAGCCCTTACAACTATGGTTGAAAGAGCTCATGGGAATTCAACAGAAGTTAATAGTCTTCTAGAGTTGCCCACTTACACACTGGGTACCGGAATGCTCTTTTGGATTCTTGACTCCATAAGATGTTGAGTCACTGAGCAGAACAAGGTATGCCCTAGGCCACTAAGCATATTTCAGGATTTCGCCCTGCCTTTACCACTTTCACTTCATGCCTTAGTTTTAATGGATAATATTCAAGAACATGCTTTGTAGCCAGTGTCTCTGCTTGTTATTAAATATTTTGTTCCTAAGTGTAGTGTATTTGCCATATCAGTTTCAGCAGAGGACAAAGCGGTAGTTTAATAGAATAAAACCTGGTCCTATCAGCTTTTAGCCAGAAGTGAACAGCTGTAAAGTGTTTATTAATAATATAGTATGCCAGCTGAGACTCAGCAAACTGATTGTTTCTTTGTGCATCCCTGTCCTAACACTGTGACAGACTTTGCAGCCATTAGATTTGTGAAGACCCGTACCCCATGAGATAGGCAAGTTTAACATTATGCATGTTTCACAGATGAGGAGGTAGGCATGGTCAGTGGTGTAGTGCAGTCCATACTGCAGGCATGGACACTGAATTGTCGGAGCTGAAATTAGAGCAGCTGATTCTGCCCTTAGATCACTGGTACTGCTCTGAACCTCCTGCTCAGAAAGTGCAAGCCAGTCTTCTTGCTCACCAGTCACTTGTAATGGTTTGTTCTCTTCCTCCAGATGCTGGACATCCCACGAGTGCTGGACATGTTGAGGCAGCAGAGAATGATGATGGTGCAGACTCTTTCGCAGTACACTTTCGTCTATGGAGTTCTCATACAGTTTCTCAAAAGTTCTAGACTTATATAATCCCTGCCACTTCCTAAGGGACACTGCAAGAGTTTACAGAAAGAAAATTATAGTTGTCCAGGCAGACCTGCTCTCACTGGTGTTTTCTTCGTGTGATGAATCACACAGTTACCTTTTAGGGCTGGTGTGTGGCTGTGAAATGCAAGTCAGTGTAACAGTCCCCGCAAAGCAGGATCTTCGCTGGACTAAATTCTTCCATGTTCAGCTGCAGTCACATTAGGGGATGATTTTACTTGTACTGGTCTGTAATACTTGCATACGTTCTTTAGAGTGGTGTTACTCTGGGCAAAATAAGTATCTTACGGAATGGAAGTATATGGCACAATTTTACTAACATTATGTTTTAAAGCATAATTGTTAACTGTGCGAAAGCTGAAATCTGTAGATGCACGTGGGGTGAGAAACCTGCTCCTTGGGAATGTCAAGGTCTTATGCAGTTTCATTCTGCTTTCAATTTTATATTTAGAACAATACATCTATATTTTTTAAAATGAACTTTTGGTTTCCTCTGGTTTACTCAGCAAAATTAGCAGCTCTTAGATATTTTAAGCTGTTGCTTTAAGGACGGTTATTTTTATATTCAGCATTTTTTAATTAAAAAACAAAACAAAACACCACAACCCAAAACTTTTTAAACAGCATAATATTTTCAGAGGAGAAGACTGACAACGTTTGAACTAACTTTTCAAAAATCATGCAGAAAGTAGAAGGGGAAGCTATTGGTAGTTAGTTGTAGTGCCGTGTAATAGAACTGACAAGTGAAAGATGATGTTAGCTGTTGATAAGTTCCATTTGAGCGGAGGCATGTTTATCTGCAACAAGCAGGGGAAAAATATTCTAATTATCTACAAGGTTATTGGAAACAAATGGACGAGAGAAAGTACATATTCAGTATTATTCATATATTTAGAGGACAGTTTGATTTTACTGGCTGAAATCAAAGTGGATGCAAATGTTTTAAGCACTTTTTTTGCTCTGTTATTTATGTAGTTAAACATAGAAACTATAATCATGCATTGTTTCATATGGTAATATACCATTACTAACCTGTTATTTTAGGAAGAGCCTTTTAAGTCAATGAAGTGAGAGAACCAAAATTGGAGTAAGAAGGTGCATAGTGGCGGAGCGGAAATGATTGTATGAAACATAATGGAGGAGGCGTGGCAGCTAGGATTGCTGGTTTACACAGTGCAAAGATGACCATTAAAAATGTTTATGTTCCCAGTCAAGAAAGCCTTTAAAGCACTGGAAGTTTCTGTAGAATACTCCAGATTATTTTGTCAGTACTAGAACAGATTTTGCTAATGCTGTGCAGCGTTGCAATGAAGAATATCCACAGAAGCTGTTTGAGAACACCTGCAGAATGTAAGAGCTCTTAGAGGTGACACTGGAGATTTGGGTATTTTAGTAGCTGTGTAGGTGGCTGAGTCAATGGCTGTGGCATGGACCTGAAGGTGAGTCGCACCTTTGGTAGTTTCCATTTTGTCCCATGGGTCTGGTCTAATGACAGTATCCCTAAATAATCCTCTGTGGTTTTCAAATGGGGACAGTGTGGTTTTACCTGCCTTTTCAAGTGTTTTGAGATGCTGAGTTGAAAATCTCCATTAAAAAGTGAGCTATTAGTTTGTAGGTATCTGGTTTAATTTAAAAAAAAACCTGTGGTAGATCAGTCTGCAGGCATGTTTAATGTCCATTTCCCTTGATACCTGCTTAGTGAAATGAAATGAGACTGAAAGTCATTTTTATCACTGGTGAAATTATGTTACTTTTCTGAGCTATAACAAGGGTTTGAAAACTATTATGAATAATTAAAACCCTTTCAAAACAATAATTGTCTCCCAAAATATTAATTAAGAATAATAAATAGGTTGCCTCAGTTTCCTCTGTAATAAGCTACTTCAACAAAAAAACCCACACGGTCCAAAGGACATCGTGCTAATATGTCATTCTATGCAAAATGTATTACTTTAAAGTACACTGTATTAATCTAGTGCACTTGGTCTGCTTTCAGGCAGTCTGAATTGTTCTACTCTCAGTAAAAGTAAGATTGAATATTTCAGATGGGGGGAAAAAATGTTCTTTTTGTAACCATAAGATGCCTAGGAAGTATTAACTGCCAAATGTGAAACTGGAAGTCCGGAGGAAACCAGTTACTGAAGACTGATTCTTTTATATATAAATCTTGCAAACAAACCAATTTGACATATCTGTGTTAACAGAAGTATTGAAAGAAACAAACATACTTAGCTATTTGTATCATGCTGTGTTTTAAAAACATTGCTACTTTTTGCCACAGTTGACTTCTATCTTCAGAAATATTTTTGAATGCGAAGGTATGCTCTAAAACGTAGCTTGTACCATTTCCATTTCTAGACTGTGATCTTCATAACCTGATACATGCAGCTTTTAATGAAATTATATACAACCACAACTTCAAGCAACAATTTTTAGCTGGTCAGCAGTTACTGGGACAGAACATCAGCTGTGAGGCATTAAAAGGAGCAGTTAAAACAAGCAATTTAATCCAAAACTTAGGCGATTGTCTGAGGTGGGTGAGGAAATGTGTGTCTCTGGGCTTTCTTTTCTGTTTTGCTGAAAGAAGTTGTGTTCACTTTTAGAGGTGGTTGCTCTCCAATCTGGTAGTCACAGGCTTGATTTGTTTTTTTAAGCATAACACTGCTACCTCCTCCACTTCAGCTTTCAGTTCTGTCCATCACGAGTCCGTTTTTGCATTAATAGACTTGACCTTAGTAGACTTGACTTTATGTGAGTTTTCCTACTGAAGATAGCAGGATTGCTTTTGTATGTGAGCATATGGCTCCAAGTGAGCATTGAAAATGAGCAGTTTGTCTTCTAAAGATACCAAACGAAAATAAACCTCGCAACCACCTGTAACAAAATTAATTTTAAAACCATTGTTTAGATTTTCAGTTAACTTTTAGAAGAAAATTCGGTTTTTAGCACTTTGTTCTGAGCCTTGAAAAGGGATGCTTTTTTTACATGTAGTTGCGCTGAGTGCTTCATGAAGTGTTGGACATTATAAGAACATCCACTGTCCAAATCCAGTCACAGCGTGAGCCGGAAGTGGATTTATTTGTCAAAAGCTTAAAATTCCACTATAAGTCTGTCCATTTTGCCAACTGTGCTTCTGTTTTTATGGGGATGAAACCAGATTATTATGCAAGATTTGAGCTGACTCTTTTTAATAAGAAAAGTTGTATGAAGACATTCTTGCGGTAAATGGCAAAGATGATGTTGATTTCTAGGGATGTCAGAGCTCTCAGGGATAAATAAAGGTGCTATATACTGTCAAGAGACAGATTTGACTGTCTTTTGTGGGCTAGGTGGAAAATGCTTTTTAGGATCAAATTCTATGAAGAGTCAGGAGAAGAACCCACAAATTGTAGTAAGGGCTTCTGCACGTTTGATTTCTTTCTTGGTTGCTCTGATGAGAGATTTTTTGGCCAGTGAATCGTAGTCTTGGGCTAGGAGCTCTTCTCTAAGAACGTAAGTCAGAGCCCTGTTCGTTGCAAAGATGTCACTGACTTAGCAGGCTCAGCTGTAGGCTGCAAATCGCTCCTCGCCTCGTTCTGTGAGGGAGAAGCTCCATGGTACGCAGGGGAGTTTTGCACAGCTTTTCTGCAGCCTGCACAGCAGTGCTCTCCTTTTTCTGCTGTCCCCCATGAAGAGCAGGAAAAGTTTTATGCCTTAGTATTGCTCTCATTGTGATACCTTTTGCACAAGTGAACGGTAAAAACGAGTGGAGGGTGCTATAGTTTATATCTAGAAATACACTTCATTCAAAGCAGGAGAGCAAGGCAGAGTTCCTACAATTTCTGTGGATGAAAAGCTGCTCTAAGTTATCATCAACATTTAGAAAAAAAAGTAAAATAAAGTAATAAAAAATAAAAGTAAAATAAATGTGTACTAAAATGGAAAAAATTCTTGGCGTTTTCAGAAATGTATTTTGGGCTCCTCTGTGTATCTTTTTTTGAAGTGGATGACATTTGGAGCAATTTTATACAAAAATAGCTTCTTAAATTTAATAAGTAAAACTACCTGAGGCTGCTGCTACATTTTTCTTGTTGGAGCAGCTGTTAAAGTTGAGTGGCTCATAGATTTCAGTGGCCTCTGGACCAAACTTGGGAACTGCAGGGTCGTTTATCATACAAGCTAGCTGTGTGATGAGACCTCAGTTTTAATACCGGTAGCGTTACTAAAACCCTGGACTTAAAAAATAGCGAACTCATTACTATATTTCAATAGTTAGTTCAAATTATCAATTTAAAAGAAACAACACTTCAATTGCTAAGAACTCTGCACTTCAGAGTGTAGTGTTTGGGTTTTTTTTCTTTTCAATACTGCAAAGTCATGCAAAGCCAGAGTCCAGTCCTGCAAGATGCAAAATTCCTGCAGTTCTTCCTGATACTGTAGGAATTAAAATGGGCTTATTGCCAATGAAAGCTTGAGCCCTTAAAGCATGAATACTCACTTTAAATTGCTTTAAATTTAAATACAGATTAAAAGAATTAACCAAAAGAATGCAGCAGGAATGTGCATACATGGAGCTACAGCATTCAAAGGAAAAGTAGCTGAGATAGTTCGGAAGAAATTCTCTTGTGAAAGCACAAAATGCTGGAAGTAGAGAGTGAGGATTTGAGGAATGGCTGAAGGCATTTGGAGGAGGATTTGGAACGTTTTGTATCCCCAGTAGAGCTGCTAGAAGGGTTTGATTCATATGGTATGTTTTTCATGCTGTGCTAGGGTAACTGAGTATGTAGTCATAGGTGTTATTTTTACTGGCTTTTTAAAATGGGATTTTTGAAACTCCAAATATTTTTTTCAGAGGCTGTGTTATTTTTACATATCTTCCTTTCCAAATGTATTTAATGCAATCTGTCAGATCAGTTTCTGTTTACTTGCTAAAGATCAGATTTTTCAAAGCATGGTCTCTGGTTTTACACATGCAAAATGCAGGGGGAATAGGCATACATGCAATTTTGCAGTGATAATTTCTAATGGATGCAGGTTAGATGATTTGAAAGTCTAAATACTTAATGAATGTAGCCAGGTGTTTACAGTAGGTGTGAATTGCACCAGGTTAAGGCTGGGCTGAAAATCAGGCCCTTGAAATGTGGAGTTTAACATGTGCTTAGAAATTATGTTGCAGTGCAGCATTTGCAATACAGTGATATTAAAACAATGTAATACTGTGCTAAGGTAAGGGAAAAAATCTTAAACTTTTAACAGCTGTTGCAAACATGTCTGTAAAAAAAAAAAAAAAAAAAAAAAAAAAAAAAAAAGATCCTGTTGGGGACCAGCTACCTTGGTGTATTCTGTTGGCATCACACGTGTTACTTTAAGGTCTACAGGAGCTGAAAAAAAAAGGATTTAACTTCAATGAGCATTTAAAAAAACAGTTGCTAAATGGCCTTTGGTTCTATTCTTTGCTATTTTCCACACGATGCTGCATTCAGTGGTGAAGAATAACCTCCAGTGTATTTGTTCTTTAGAAGTCCATTCTTCAGCTCTAATTAGGGAACGAAGACAGAAATCAAATGCAAAGAATCTTATGAATAGAGTTTACAACAGATCCAGCCTGTGGCAAGTTAGAGAGCAAGTCCGTAGATACCGTAACGTTATTTTGGTTCAGATATGCGGCAATCAAAACTACCAAATTATTAATTTTATGAGCACAGTTTCAGAAGGTGCCTAACTTTTATAAAGGGAATTTAAATGCTGTTTTTCCATTTGGAAATATTTAGGTAAAATTAGGAGACTTTTAAAATACTTTAAAGACTTTGCAAATGCCATTAATTTTTAGAACGGTAGGAAACTTGATGGGGAAAACCCATGTAAAATCCTCCAGTCTGTCACCGTGCTAATCCTGGATAATTCTGACAGACAAGGTGTATGTGCTCTTTACAAAGATACTTTCTTAAATTGCTTTGAAATACCCAACATACCTGTCCTCTTTATGGCTGATCTGGGGGGACTTGGATGGAAATTTTAGAGGCTTGACCTGGCGAATCAGTCAGTCTGCACACTCCTGCACATTGCTGAAATCTCTTCATTCCGTTAAAGCAAATGGGTGTTTGAAGTCCTTTCAGCAGTTTTGTAGGATTGAGTCCTTAATGTCAGAGGAATGCAGGATCTGGCTCCATTTTCTTTTATTTTCATTTGAGCCAGTATGCAAGGATTTAAATGGGACTTCGTTTAAACAGTAGCAAACACGAAGTATTATTTTCTAGTACTAAGCTAGTGGTAACATGTCTGTTTTTGCTGTCTTGCCACCAATACTGTAAAAATGTATAATCAAAACAGCTTTAATTCTTGTAAAACTGAAATTGGTTTGTAAAACAATGTACAAATTGTGTTTCATAGACAGAAAAGCTTGTATTACTGAATGTAATATATGTGAAATGAATATATTATAGTCTATTTTTGCCATGGAAATAAATATTTGAAGCAACTATGAGTTTTTATTGTTCCATTATTAAAAGAAAAATTAGAGAACTTAGTTTTCATATGTAGTCCTAGGTTGGGACTGTACCTTCTGTACACAAAGGTGCTATCCCTTTTCTAAAGCGCTGCAAGTACTGTCCTGCAGCTCGGTACTAATATAAAACTTGTACTGTCAAATACTAATAGCTGTCATCTTTGTGGCAAGAAAGTCTTGTGCCTGCTGCCCTGTCATTGTTGTTTATAATGTTTTGCATTTTCGAAAGCTATTTTTAGTATTGAACACTCAATTTCCCTGTAACCTTTAAGTGGAGGAAGGATAAAAAGGTTTGGAAACTTGAAAAACCCTTGTGAGAGAGGAAACAGTTGATTGTATACTTACTATCGTTGGAGCTGCCACCAATAACTAACACTGAAGTTTTTCTTCATTTTCTAACTGACATTTAGTCAAAAAGGGAGGTGGCGCAAAAGGCTTGCTGTGTAACACCTGGTGCAGCACAAGATCTCATAACGTCATGATAAATGAATTGCATGCTGGATATCGCAATTTCACACTGGACAATTGTCTTTGCTAAATGCCTAGTGTGCTGCCCACTTAACTATACCTGAAACGACCAGGCTTTTAACTAAAATTTGTCTTCCAGGTATGCTCAATTTGGTGGCATTAATCAACTTAAGGTAAGACAGTAACATACCAGCTATCTATGTACTTGTCTGATCAATTCCCAAGTCCTGGGGAATGTCCTGTGCGATGTTCAGTGTGGGCAAAGCTCTGTTACTTGACATGGATTCAAAATCAGAAGAGGGAAATGTGACTTCTTGGGGTCCTAAGCATGGTAAAAACACCCAGCAGTTCTGATCAGGCTTATTATTTATACTGGTTTTAGACCTGAGCCAAAGGTCTCTTCAGAAACCTAAATTTCCCCTAAATCCAAATTGCTGTAAACCGTAGCTGTTTTTTTCCAGCCACTGTAAAATCCCCATTAGAGCCTTCCGGTGGCCAGAGCTGGGAAGCGGCTTGATTTTTGGATTTGACACAGCTGGCCAGCAGCCTTCTTGAGCAAGAGCTCCAGGACTTGGTACAAGAGAAACCCTGGGGGAGTTGATGAGAGAGGTTCCTAGCCTAGTGCCTTGACTAGGGGAGCTGAAGTAAGTAGCTCTCATTCAGCTGTTAGGGTTGTTTAAATCTGGAATGGCTGTGGATAGTTGAAGGTTACGTGAAACTCCGCAATGCTAGGTACCTAGCTGGAAGTTTTACATGTGACAGTTGCCCTGTTTAGGATCTGATAGGTTTTTTTTTTACACCCGTTCCTCTTCCCTGAGGGGTCAATGACAGCATATAAACGTGTGTGCTCTCTCTCCACTATTTTTATGAGCATCCCCTGGAAGGCTGGACTCTGCATGAAGACAGAAGCTGCCCAGTGCCACTGAAACGTTGCCAGTTTACCTCCTGCAGCTTGAGAACTACTTGTGGATGACCCCAATTTGTGAGTATGATAGGAATGTCACTTACACAGGTACTGACAGGAGAATGGTGTTGCAGGAGAGTTGGAGGTGAGTGAGGACTGGGTGATAGGTGAATGCTCATCAGCTGTGAACTAAGCAAGTTATTTCGTATCGCTGTGTATCCCATTGGCTCAGTCTGGCTCTTGGGCAAGTTGAACCTTCTGCCATCAGCACTTGAGTTTGAGTGATGGCAGTTCTGTGGCTCCAGTGGAACATAACGCTTAGGGAAATGGTGGTTCTGATATTTAAAAGCCATTTCTGTTGTTATTACAATTGCTTTAAACTAGCCTCATTAATTCAAAGAAAAAACAAGCGTGAGTAGGATATGGGTGAGCCTGGGACTATTTTACCACAAAACTTCTTTATCTTTCAGAGGTGCACAGGGTTGAAGATATGTTGTAACATTGACTTCGTGGCATTCCTTGGGAGCTTTTCTGAAGCAAGGACTTCAGGGCACATGCGTGTTCTTGGGCTCTCCCCTTGCAAAATGGCACAACATAGATGTGGGAGCTAGAAGGGGTAGATCTTAGAAAAATTCTGTCCCATTTCTAATCAATCACCACGTCTCCCAAACTGATCTGCACGACAATCTTTCAGATGGACACCTGAGTTTAAACCAAACATCTGCCATCTCCAACATACCAAACCAGTATTATTTGCTGCCCTGCTTATTCTATGGATTTTAAATATCTGCTGTAATAAACAAAACAACTGGAAAAGACTTGGAGGGCTTGCAGATGAGGTTCAGATTATTATTATTATTATTAGCCATTTCTAAAATGACAATCATGTGCCCTATGTAAATCTAGAAGGACATCAAATCCTTCCACGAACAGACCCCGAACTATCATACCCAGAGGCGAATGAAGAATTTTCACTGGTGTTAAGTACCTATGAAGAAAACCCCTGTCAAGCCTGGCTAACACTGATAATCAGTGATTTGAAGGAACTGCATACTTTGTGTGTGCATGTGTGTATCTGATTTCTTCTGTCTGCATGCTGTGCTATTCGCGACTGATTGAAGCTGAAAATGTCTTTCCATTGACAAAATCTTTAGCAAAAGATTTCAGGAAATTAAAAGATAGGCTGGTTTTAGTTTGATAATGTGGAAGATATTATTTTAGCAGTTTTATCAGGTTTTATTGAGTTTCCTGCACCATAACAGTATAGAAATAAATTCATTTTGTTCTGAAGTGACTGTCTCTGAACCTCCAGAAATAGCAAGTGCTCACTCTGTATTTCAAAAATTTGAGTTGTCTCCTGAAGACCAGGAGATGTAGGTCTCCATCACTTTAAATTCCATTAGTCGCCAAATGTTTACTTCTTTCCCTGCATTAGGAGAAGCAATTTAATTTGAAACTATAAATCTTAGGAAATTGTACTGCCTCAATTTTCCTGTTTAAGCCATCCTTTCACTGAGACACTAAAAATATGACATTATTTTTATTTCCTGATCCTTGTGGTCCTGGAAGCTATCTTGCAGAGGTAGGCCAGCTATGATAATCAGTGAATGTGATTGGATTTTCTTTGGGGGGTGACTTCTGGCTTGAAAAAGAGAAGCATATAGACAAGAAGCAAGTCTATCAAAACTCGGGGTTCAATTCAGTTCCTGACAGCAGCTCCAGAAGGATTAAGGAGAAAATCACATGCAACACAGTGGCTCAGCCAGTCTGAGGCAGCTGGCCTGCTGATCCCACTTGTTATGGTGAAATATCCTCCTGGGATGCTGGGCCCAAGGACTTGTTCCTTCCAGGGTGCTGGGTAGGTGATTCTTTCTTCCTCTGTCCTGCTGGATGGCTCTTTCGGTCTTACCTGAAAATTATCCCTACCACCTTCTGTAGATGCACTGTGACCCTTGCTAGGGCGCGTGGGTTCCTGTAGCAATGCCCTGTCCAAATGAGGACATCTGTTTTCTCCTTCATAAGGAGGGGGGGAAACACTGCGTTATGTTAGTAGTCAGGATCAAAATGTAATTAGGAAAGAGGACGAAAGCGCAATTGTTCACCAAAAATAGAAACAAACGTAGATGGTTGATGAAGGATTTGTCTTCTTCCCAAGTTCCTCTGAGGTTTTAAAGGGCAGAAGGAGCTGTTCCACAAGCCACCTCAATCAAAAGAGCGATAGGAATCCAAACGAGAGGTATTAGATGCAGTAGCTTTGATGCACTGCAAGAAAAAACAATCTACCTAAAATAAGGAGCATTGCTGAGTGTACGCACTCCCTGCAGTCAGAGCAAAATTTACCCTTAGTGCCATGGTGTTAGTTAGGAGGGCTGCCAAGGTGAGTTTAGCATTTTCAGTGCATTTATGCCATCAAGCTGGAAATAAAATGCTCCATTTGAGCCTGTTTTCAGGACAAAGGGTCAGCCTTATCCCTCTGCACAATGCTGGTGGTTAAATAATGACAAATAAGCAGAACTGAGGTTAATTTACATTCTCTGTTGAAAGAAACTGGAAATACTGCACTAATACTACAAACTGAATTGTCCTGGTACCTGTGAAGCTAACTTTGGCCATGAGCTGGCCCGTCCCATTGCTCACCTGCCCCGTAGCTTTGTTACTGAGCGTGCCTGAGACTGCGTCATGGGTGCTTTATGGCAGGGGTGTGCTCTCACCTGTCAGTTGCTGCTTTGGGTAAAGGAATGGACAACAAGGAGCTGGTTGTGGAGACGTGCCCAAGAACCCTTTGGGGAGATCTGGTTGCACCATGAAGTGAACAGAACAGAGGCTCTGAGAAGTTCAAATATTGAGGAAGAGCCATGGAGAAAACACATGCTATGGAAAGCTACAGCGAGGGCCTTTGAAAGACCTACATTTAAGCTGAAAGCCCCTATGTAAGGCTTAAGACTCTCAAGGTGGGAGGGGGAGGACCCATCATGCAAGCTGGTTTCTGGGGAAAGGGAAACTGAGATGATAGCTCGAGGAACTCTTCTATCTTTCTCTTACAATCCCACTGTTATCTGAGATGGCTGTGCCCAGCTTTTGGGAAGCCTAATAGCCAGCTCCCAAACCTATGCTATCTGTATCGTATCTGGTCTTGCTTGTGTCAAACGTCGGGAAAAAGCAGGGTGCCAAATGCCTCTGAGCTGAATTTCTGGTTGGAGAGGCTACACCTCTGAGGTCCTGCAAGGAATTCTCAGGCTGACAGGAGGGCTGATGGCCTTTGACATGTTGCTTCACTTCTTATTTGGCACGTGAACATGCTTGTGCATGAGAGAAACAGATAGCTGGGAAGAGCTGGGGTCACCTCATAGTTCTGTTACTCATCATCTGGAATCGGGCTCTGGCTGCTGTGAGATGTAAGGTATGCTGCAGCCCTCGCACAGATACTGTAAGGGGAGTCCTACGGGCTTGCTGAATTCTTGGGATAACTGCAGAGAGCTCTGCACCTCATGCTACAGATCACGCTGCCTGTCCTCTATGAAAATGGGACAGCATAGCTCTGTGGGCCTGCCAGGCTGAGGCTGTGTTCGAGTTTCTTTCTCTCTCAAGTTTCATATGCCTCC